AGTTGCCAAATTGGTCCCTAACATTTACCAAAAACACTTTTTTAGTCCTTAACATATAAAATCAGCCAAAATGATCCTTCACATTTAAATTATGACCCAATTTGGTCCTATTGCTCGTTTTTGCTCATTTCTCCGGCTAAAAATAGCACGCCCCCCTCACGTGGTCATATTTTTAGGGGCAAAACCGGAAAACACATTTCATTACCGGTCGAAAGAAGCCATCTTTCCTTCATCTAATCACCTCACTAACCCATGAAATTGAAGAGGGAAAATACAGTAGCAAGAAATTGGGAAGAAGAAGCTGACCTTTGAAGAGTAAAATGGATCCAAACGAGCAATATCTTTGTGGAAAGGAATCCATCATTGTGACTTCTTGGAAACCTGCAATCAGATACTTACAAAATAGTTGTAATACTTGGGGAGGGGGGGAGGGTGAGGCATCTGATTTTTTGTTGGTTGGGGGAAGGGGAAGAAGAGATAGAGAGAGGTAGTTACTCTTGGCGCTGGAGGGATTTGAGGATGGAAGCTTTGGAAGACTCGATCTCCCATCCATGTATCCGAAGTCCAACCTGCCCGTCCGGCAGCAACTCCGCTCCGGCTTCTTTCAATTCTTTCTGGTCTGCCTCCCACTCCATGCCCCCTACCTCACAAAACAAGCACCGTCACGATTTATGTCCAGTCCTGTTCCAGATTCTGCAACCCCCCTTTTGCTGGGCTGGCGACTGGAGCTGGTTTTCTACTTCCACAGGGATGGTTTCCGAATGGCGATGGATTCCAGCTACCGCTTTTTGTGAAAGGTCAGAATCGTCATTGCATCTTGTTTGTGTTTGTGTGTGTGTGTGTGTACATGCCCTCTTAATTTTCTTCACAAATTTCTGGCTAAACCTTCAATCTTTTCTCAATCACACCCTACAGGTTTGTCGTCGTCATCATCGACAGTACATTTCCAAGTTATGCTTGTTAATTTGGGGATGCAATTAGGGTTTCTTCAAACTGTAATTTGAGGGCCAAAGGTGAAATGTGTATTTTGGTGGTGATCCCCTATCCTTTTACCTTCAACTGGTAATGAAATGTGTTTTCCGGTTTTGCCCCTAAAAATATAACCACGTGAGGGGGCGTGCTATTTTTAGCCGGAGAAATGAGCAAAAACGAGCAATACAACCAAATTGGGTCATAATTTAAATGTGAAGGATCATTTTGGCTGATTTTATATGTTAAGGACTAAAAAAGTGTTTTTGGTAAATGTTAGGGACCAATTTGGCAAATTTCCTTGTTAATATGTGTAAAATAATGACTTTTTGTAAGACGAACGGATCTACAATGGAGGCACATGCTACCACTATCCCCTGAAAATCTATAGTTTTTAAAAGATTTCAAATTTATCCCAACTAAATTGTTTACAAATGATTAAATGCATAAATAACTACTTTTGTACTGAATAATTAAAAACTTCAGGCATTTAACAGCTTTGAAACTTGAAACTTCTAATAGATTATCATTCACTTTATCTTTTAATAAAATAGAAAGCAATATTATTAATATACAAGTTGAAAATCATCCAATATGATTTCCTTAACAAAGAAAGTTGTACTAATGGCAGAAAATACATAGACCATATCACAAATATATCTGATTTGAAAAATCATTAAATTTAATAGAGCTATAAAATAAGAGAGATTACATTATGAGTCACAAACTATCAAATCTGACCAATTACACAAGTTGCGCCATAAAAATCTATGCAAGTCTACTCTTTCAAATCTGCTATCCAATTTGTTCAAGTTCAAAATTAATGCTGAAATCTGACGAGAAGGTCTATTAAATTTCAGATCTAAAATATTGATGATTCCTAAATGTCATGTTTTTATGTTCTTCTATCACTATTATTTTACGCATATTTTATCTTTAGAAGTGCTACTTAAGATACGTTTTATGATTGAAAAGGTTCAAAAAGCACTTAAAAGTGAAAATGATGCAAAATGAGCTCAATTTGAAAGAAAAATGCTAAGTTCACAAAGGCAGCAGCTAATGGGTGCTATAATGAGGCCAAACACAAGGCCCGCTCGAGTTTGAAACTGATTGCAGTCAAATAGGAAGTTTAAGCAATGATGGGCGTCCGTCTTACAACTCGACTTAAGACCTGATATTGTACAGACACATGTTTTCTGAGTTTTAATGCATATATTCAATTATAAATAAAAAACTCTACCTCCGAGCACTATAAATAGAAGGTTTTGATCGACTCTAGAGGAGAGCCAACAGGGAGAATGGCCTAAGGCCATTACTTTCTCATATTCTACATTCTTATGAATAGATTAGAATAAGTAGAACTAGAGTTTGACTGTGAACATCTCTATTTCTCTGTTGAGGGCAATATCTAACTAATTTTCTATTCAAACCAAGGATTGAAGTCTTTATTACACCGATTGTGAAATTGGGTTTGATCTTTCAATCTTTAATTTACTATCCATGATTCTTTAATTTTATTCTATGTTGATGCATGCATGGTGGATTAAGTGACTAATTAGTTTTTCTATATGTATTTTTTGTGCCAAAATACTAATTTTAATTCGTAATTGTCTTATGTTGGTATTTCTATATGAAAAATATGGTTAACAATTGATTGCCCCCTTTTGTGAGCCCTTAGGGGGAGTTATGGTGTTGTTGAATAACTGCGTCCACAGGTTATTGTCACCTTTGGCTGATTCTTGATTCTTAATGTTGTTATTAGAGTAATCAGGATTACATGAATACCTAAATTGTCCAATAACAAGAATACAATTTGAGTGCGTCATCCTGATTATTGAATTTAAAGAATCTATGAATTATTACTGGCATCTAGGATAATTTAAGCCAAATAATTGATTAAATTTGAGTCTTTAAGAGCTGATGATCAATTGGAATAAAGATCTTCATGTCTTGATTTCGTTTGTTGTTTATTATATTTATCTTTTGTTTTTATTATTATTGTTTTAGTTCTAGATATCGTTACAATGATCCCAATTCAATTTTTATTATTTTAACAAAAGAAATTGAAAGCTTTAACTGTTCTATGTGGATTCGATCTGGATTCCCACTACTTCAAGTTTTGAAAATTCAGTAATTAATTTTTGACACTCTCGATAAGTGATTACATATAGATCTGAAAAAAAATAACAAAAAAACTAAGCAAAACTCTCACTAGGATAGTTTGTGAGAGAAGAAAACTCTCACCAGTAAAAACAAAGAGAGAGAAAACTCTCACTAAAATATTCGAAGAGAGACTTTATTAAATATAAAATAAAAATAGAGGAAGTTGGAGGGAGACCTTACCTAAGGCCAATATCTCCTTATTATAGAGGAAAAATACTGGAGAGAATGTTGAGAGCAGAGAAAAGGCAGAGAGAACGAGTGGGTAGAGAGAGTATAGGCTAGCCTACTTTGGGTGCTTAATTTAATTCCATAGATTATCAGTCACTAGTGATAAGAATTGTATGGGTATATTTCAAAGAAAAAAAAACACGGGTTAATAACTATAGCATACACGTAAATTGCATTATTATTCATTAAGCATTTATACTTACATTCATTGGCCATTTTACTAGAAAAATAACTTTCCTAAAAATGGGAGATGTACAATCAAGTCAGCTGTATAGCCGCAAGATCTAAGAAAGATAAAACATGTAGAGCACCAAAATCACCTGTATATGCTTCTTAGCGCAATACTTGTTTTCTCCAAGATTTATTAATAAATTGTGTCAACCTGACAAGATCTGACAAGATCTTAGTGCAATACATGAGACCTGACAAGATCTAAGAAATCCTAGATCTAGTAACTCTTACTACTTAAATGTGTCAACATAACTCTTCAGATTTAGGAAATTTCTTCTTTGCTAGAATAACTTGTCCTCAACGACGAAATGAATCATTTAAAACAAAATTAGAACAAAATGTCTGACTATTAGAGCAATAAATTGCCTCTTTTTTTTTTTTTTTTGGTGTAGCCATAAGCTTTGCCTTCAAATTCAAAACTGTTTCTGAAGAACTTCATTTGCCTACTTAGTAGGGAAGAGCACAATAATTCAGCAATCCGCTCGTTAGCCGCCTCAATTTCTGTGTAAAGAGAATTGAAGCTAGTTTGGATGATCGGATTTGATAAGAAAAGAAAGGAAAGGAGAACAAAAACTTTCTTTCTATCATTTGGGACTTTTTAAGAGATGGAAAAGAAAGGAAATCAAAGGATTTGGATGGATGGTATGTTGCTGCCATAGTTGTTATACTTTTCTGCCCAAATGTGGCCGGAAAGCAAAGGAAAGTTGAGAAAGCCTAACAAAATTTTTTAAAATGTCCATTTTATCCTCAAATGGGTATTGAACAAATTTTTATTGACATATATATCCCAAATCATTTCATTTCTTATCTAAACTCCCAAACAACATCAACATCAACATCTCACCTTTTCTTTTCCCATCCTTTCTTTTCTTTCATAACTTAAGGTTTCTTTTCTTTTCTTTTCTATCCTAAACTCCCAAACTAGCTACTAGAAAATCCCCTTGTGACTGGAGGGAAAGTACATTTAACTCCAAGTAAGACTTCTGAGTCCAAGAATAATTCAAAATGATGAATTCAAACCTATAGAGTGATTAGCAATTTCAAACTACTAAAGTTGATTATTGTAATGAAATCTACTCTATCAAGGCATTCAAGAGTTATCATGACAAGATTTTTTATCTGGAGGTCATTATTAACGTAGACTTTGACAAAATATACCTCGGCTCAAACTTAGCCCTTAGTTTGGCAATTAAAAAAGAAAAAAAAAAAAACCTTACGCCTCAGGATGTTCTAAACGACACAGAACTTTAAGATCTTGAGGACTTAAACAAAGTGCTTGGAAGCCCCAATAACCCGACACACACACACACACACACACACACATATATATATATATATATATATATTTATTTATTTTTATACATTTACTATAAAATAATAATTTAGAGCTAAATATGTAATTCATTGAACTACTTACCTAGATGTGGTCAATGGGCGATCAAGAAGGCTCATGGCTTAGGTTGGTGGCCTCCATTGCACTTAGGGCCTAGGGGGTGCCTGTCTATGGTCTCCCCGAGTGGGAGAGCCAACGTCATAATTTGTGGCAGTGGGGGCCCGCGTTCGCGCGCCCCTGCCCTTTAAAAAAAAAGCAATTTATTGAATAAATTGTATTACAAATATAAGAGACAATAGTTTATTTATAAAATTTATTTGTAGAGGTCATAATCTTATGTTTTATAGAAAAGAATTTAATTAATGTGGAACATATATTTTAAAAAATATACTACTTATTTCAAACTTTTATTGATGTTGAATTCTTTTAATTTTTTTCCTTTATCTTGTATTTTCTTTGCATGCTTGTTTCTTGGTAGGAGACTTTTTTTGAGAAAAAATCTTTATTAAATCTTAGATGAATGTGTAAAATATAAAAATAAATTAGTATAAATCATTTTTTTAAAAAAAATTAAATGATAAATGGGGCGGGGCGAGGCAGGTACCCGTTAACCTGATCCTATCTTAGCAGGTACCTTATAATCGAGTACCCATTGATATGTGAGGCACGTAAGGATCAGAAAATGACTGACCCGTAAAATACGGATCGAATCAGCCAAATGATGAATAAGACAGATATTCGATCCGTGCACACCCCTACTTGGACGATAAATCCACCCACATGATGTATCCTCATGATAAATTTGGTTTCTCATGTGAACGAAATTTATAGTCATAAAGAATACATTGAATGCATTGCAATTTTTATCATCACTAGAGCTTGACTTCTTATGACGGCTGTCACGTCTCGATGTTAGTCCATTGGTTTTACTGTATTCATTTCGATACTAACAAGATACAAGAAGTCAAATATTTCTGCATGGATAAGCTCATAGATTAACATTTATTGACTTAGTGTCTTTTCCTTAAAAAAAAACATTTATTGACTTAGTCTTGCGGTGGACTTCCTTCACAAAAAAAAAAAGAAGTCTTGTGGTGGACTTTGAATGTGATGTCCACATTTCAAGACAATTTACAATCGGGACAGGTAAGTGAGATTGTCGTAATTGTACTTATTACATAATTTAATATAAACTCATCTAAATTTGTTTACATACACCAACTGAACATGAAATATAAAAAAAATGTACAATCTAATCTTGGAAGAAATTCAATAAACTGCACCTAATTTCAACTGTACTGCCTAACTTTCATATTCTCCCCCATCGTACTTTGATAGTATCATTTTTTTTTCAATCATCCCAAATTATAGTCCACTTTCCAATTAAAAAATATAATTAACTTTTAACTTCTTTAAAATATTCTTATTTGATGTATTTTATTATCAGTGAATATAATTTACTTTATTCAATAATTGCTCCGATTCATGCCTTAAATGGTGTGACTTTTCATTAGTATTGTTGTTGTAATTAATGTAAATGTATAATGGCTAGTCATTCTCGGGTATTTTTGAAAGACAAGAGGCTAGATTTATTTTTTCAATAAAGTTAACTAATTTTTCTTAAACTATGTAAAAAAAAATTCAAAACCTATCAAAGTGGGACCAAAAAAGTTTTAAAAATGAATTTGAACTAACTTTATATGCATGCCGACTATTGATTGAATGGTTTTTCTAACAGTGCCCATAGGGTACTCGTTAATACACTTATATTTCATCTAACTTACCATGTATATAGACACACTAACAATTGCTACTCTCTCTTGCATTTATACACTTTTTCTAATTAATTTTCTTGCATTTATATTTTTTTAATTAATCTTATATTTTTAAAACCATAATACATGAAATACATCTTAATGAGTGCCTTCGTTAGACAGGTTGTTGATTAAAATATGAAAGTCCCACTAAATATGAAAACCCTTTAAGTAGCACGAAATCCCACTTCCAGCTATTTATCATGTTCTACGTTGTTTTGCTGAATTTAAGTAGCACCAAATTGACCAATTCATAGCTACTCCAAAACCTTATTCTAATGCGGAGGAAGACTTGACTATTTTTATGTGTTTATATATAGTGTTGGTTATGGCCCCCTGTGCTATAAATACCATTGCTCACCTTTGTTGCATATTCACCAAGACATGGCTGGTACAAAAGTTGGAGTAATCACTCTCCTGCTTTGCGGTACGTTCTATCATCTTATGTGTGATATACTATTGATTCATATGATCATATCATGAGATTAATACTTTGGTATATATTTTGTTGATTGAGATGAAGGCGCAATTAATTATTTGCTATCTACAATATGGTTTTTGTTTTTCGGTTTGCAAAATCAATTTCTACTTCATCTGCTAAAGTGAAGTGCATAATTTCATTTGACATTAAATCTTTCCTCTAAGTTTGCTATAATTCAACACAAAAGCATGGCATGCATGATGCATTTCACAGTTGAACTGGAAGTTGCAAATAAAAAGTAGTACAAAAGTTCATATGTAAGTATAATCAGTAAGATACATAATTCCACCATGCGAGAAAGCAGATGCTCATATTAACTGGCCTTTGTACTCGGAAAATAACTCTTGCAATAACGGGAATTAACAACTTAAATTAATACTTGTGATTTGAATTGAAACAGCAACAATTCTACTTGGATTGAAGCCGGAACATGCAAGCGCAAAAGTATGCCCATTCTTCTGCTACGCAGAAGTAGCTTATATGACTTGCCCACCTGCACCTTACAAGAAACTTGGCCCAGTGTGCAACTGTTGCTTGGCCAAACCAGGTTGCAAGCTTTTTCGGGCTGATGGGACTGTGATCTGTACTGCAAGCTGATAAGCCTTTGATAATAAATGGCCTCAAGAGCTTCTAGAAATGGGCTGCAATCTTGTGATCCCTTAAAATTTTGCAATAAATCGGGTCATTGATCTATGTTCTGTTTATTACTGTTTTATTACATATATTAAAAGTTTTTAAGCATACATCCAATTTTGAAAGTATGTTAATCAATGAAAGTTGCATAATTTATACAAGAATGTGATCCTATTCAATACAAGACGAAATAGGTACTTAGGATGAGCATTGACGTCGAATAGGAATAGTTATTTTGTTTGGCTTTTTATTTTCCCTTTCCTTGAGAAGAATACTATCTAGTTGTATGTTTTGGTTTTAACACGTTTAATAAAGTCTAAATTGAAGAGTAAGACTGAACTTTTATGGACATTTTGACCAAAAAAAAAAAAAAAAGACTGAACTTTCATGGAGTACCACCTCAAAAAAGGAGAGCACTGCAGCATGTAGAAATTTGTACGTTTAGCTGAGCCAGAGCTTGATTATACCAAAATTTTAAAAAAAAAGAGATCTAGAGATTGAAAATTAACTGCTAATATTAACTTGGTACAAACTTAAAATCACACTTCTTCGACAGTCAATTAAACTCAAGTATTGAATTTAAATAATCTAATTCCACGTGTATTAGTGCATAAATTTATAGAAATGTTTTATTTTGTTTTATACTAAATTAGAATCTTAAATATTACTCTATTATATTAATAAGTCTTTTAGTCTATGTTGGAGAGAGAGTATTTGCTTATGTGTTAAAGAATGCGTATTTGAGAGGAAAAAATTTGTGTTCTGTGTGTCAGTCAGTCAGAGACGTATAGAGAGCTATGTTTGAAGGTGTGGATTAAAGAATGTATGTAAGTGTGTTTGAGACGGATTTGGAGTGTGAGATGATGTGTGTACTTGAAAGTGTGTGTTACTCATTTGGGAAATATTTGTGTGTATGTCAAAGTACATGGGCATGTGAATTAAGAATTTGACTGAAATAACTCTAGAGTTTTATTCTCTAGCATTTTTTTCTTATTTTGTATATTGCTGTACTAATTCAGAAAAAGCATAACCTTGTAGTGTTTCCATATGCAATCATTCACTTCACCACCTCAATTTGAAGCATGAGCAGCCTATGCCCAATTTCTTAAGGCTTTTTTTTTTGGGTATGAAACTAGTTGTGTGGGTTCTATTTCGATCACTTTCACGGATCAAGGTATACCTCTGAAATCATAGGTTGTTTATAGAGGTTTTTATAAATCACTCACCAACACAGTTCGTACATCGATAACGAGATTCGAATATACGATTTGTTGTGAAAAAACGATCTATTCTTGCCAATTGAATCAATTTGTACCGGTAAAGAATCGTTATTTTCTTAAGGTGAAGCATGTGTGCTGATCAAGTTAGTCTGTCTACAATCCCACAGCACCTAAGGGGAGATCTGACTTGTGGAAGGCTGACTCAACAAAATCCCATTCCCATTTTTGGGTGGTGTTTGTTCTTCCAAAATTTTAACAGGAATTTTGTGTAAAGTAAAGGGTTTTTAGTATTTCAATTGAGTGGCTAAATTTTGAATATACGAATATGATATGCTAGCACACCATCCCTTTTCAGTTCAAATTAAAAATTAGCATCAATCCTAAAAAATATTGAAAAAGAGAGAAATATTGAAAAGGAGAGTTTTAAAGACACCTAATTTATTTTACTTTCATTAACAATATCAGTTGTGGGGAGGTTTGTGAAACCTTGCTAACATTAGGGTGCAAAGCATTCAAAATAAAAATTAAAAGCACAAAATAAGATTCAATGAGTGTAGAGGATCCAGTTCAAATTAGTATAGGCTTTTGTTTGATGTAATATCCTGGTTTCTCTATTACCCTAACTATTGGAAAAATATGTTCTTCAAAAAAAGGATTTTTTTTCTTTTGGGTAGGAAAATGTGGTTATTTTTTTCCTTGCCCTTAACTTTTTTCCAAGCCCAAAGGATTTTGATATTTTTGACAAATCTAAACTCCGTGAAAACCCACAAAAGCCAGCAACTTTTGTGGGTCTCACAGGAGACTTATCTACTCTTACCCCAAACCCCCTAAATCCACAAGGGAGCCTGCCAGACCTAAAGAGACTCCACGCATATGGCTTTTCCAAATCATGAATGACAGCATGCTGGACGAGTTGGTTATTTATTTATATCTATATTTTGATTTCCTCTGTGTAGTTGCTAACACATCTATTTTCATACTATCAGAAAACCAGAAAATATTCTCAATATATTATTAGTTTGTTGTTATTATGTGCTTACATCATCACATTTACATATCAATTCATTCTGAAACCTTTTATTCTATGTGAGATAAATTAAATTAATTAAAATGTGAAACAGTTGTGTATATTGTAACGACTTCTAAAATTAATATCAAAATATTGTTACATTTAATAAAAAATTTTCAATACCAATCATACTGTCAAACACATTATGAACAATTTTAATATGTAAAATGTTTTAGGAATTCATAACTGCTAAATAAATAGAGAATCTTCTATTTAACTCTAATATGGAGGATTCTAATAAATTGAAATCCATCAGAACTAGTAATTGCTCCAATCCCTACCACATGACATAATTTCTTAAAACAGTTGTTGACAGTGTCTGTTCATTTTGTCTCTTGCGAACTGCGAATATATAAATGAACATCAAATATAGCTCTAGTCAAAATATTTGTCTTGAATTCAAAATCTGTATGAGATCATTGAAAGGAAGCAGTTTGGAAAATGGCTTTGCCTCCTCAGCATTTTTAAGGTTGTTTTCTTCTTTACCAAGAATATTTCTCAATGACAAAATTAATGAACAGTTATGAAAAGACAAATTACATGTTTGACTTTTGAGCATTTTATAATTTTTTGAAGCTGGAAGCAGCTTCCTAAGGATTTGTTTGGTCAGATAGTTTGAAGGCAATTAATGGAAAGATACAAACAAAAACAAGCATCATCATTTGATTAAATCTGTACTACTGATGGCAAAAATTATATCAATCATAGATAGATATAAACATATCTGAAAAATAAATACTAGATACTACAAATCTAAAAAAATCTATAGAATATTACATTGTGAAATTCTAAAAATATCAAAAGTAAAACACGTATAGCTCCAAAATCATTTGTGTATGCTTCCAGTTGCACTGCTTATTTTCTTCCCGATCTACTAATAAACTGATTCAAACCCAAATGTCAAGGTGAAATCTAATAAGATAGGTCTAACGAATCCCAAATCTAATAACTCTTACTACTTGAGTGTGTCAACGTGACTGTTCGGGTTTAGGAAATTTCTTCTTCACTAGAGTAACTTCTCCTCAACGAAGAAATGAATCGTTTAGAACAAAATGTCCAACTATTAGAGTGCTAAATTACCACCTTTTTTTTTTCTTTCTGTGTGTGTGGAGCCATAGCTTTGCCTTCAAATTCAAAACTGCATTTGAAGAATTTCATTTGCCAACCTAGTAGTGAAGAGCAGATTAATTCAGCAATGGGCCCGTTAGATTCCTCAATTTCTATGTAATGAGAATAAAAACAAAATTAGTAAAATCCCCTTGTGACTTGAGGAAAAGTACATTTAACTCCAAATAAGACTTTTGAGTCCAACAATAATTCAAAATGATGAATTCAAACCTATAGAGTGATCAGCAATTTCAAACTACTAAAGTTGATTATTGTAATTGTTGAGATGCCTTGAATTAGATCTTCAACCCCCGCTGAGCTGTACGGGGGTCTCGCTGTTTTATTTTGGGTCTTGTTTTGGGCCTATTTTGGGTCCAGTCTGTTTGGTTGTATATATATACACCTTATTTTAGTCTGTAAACTATTTCCGATTACAACCCTAATAAAATCTGTTCCGCTGCATCTGCTATAACAAACTGGTATCAGAGCTCTAGGTTTGTCCTAGGGCTCGGATCATGCAACAACATGTCTGCTTTGAACATCAAGATCGACAAGTTCACCGGGAGAAATAGTTTCAGTTAATGGCAGATCAAGATGCGGGCTCTGTTAAAGCAGCAGGGCCTGTGGAGTCCGCTGACGAAGAAGAAATCGGATTCCGTTGATGAAGAGTCGATGAGTCTGGAGGAAAAGGCTCACTCGACAATCATGCTGTGTCTGGCAGATGATGTCATCACTGAGGTCGCCGGTGAAGAAACTGCTGCGGGTTTGTGGGTTAAACTTGAAAGTCTCTATATGACGAAATCTTTAACCAACAAGTTGCTCCTAAAGCAACATTTGTTCGGTCTGCGTATGCAGGAAGGTACTCCTCTTCGAGAACATTTAGATCAATTAAATACAATTCTTCTTGAATTGCGTAATATTGATGTTAAAATTGAGGATGAGGATGCCGCGTTGATTCTGTTAGTGTCTCTACCGTTATCGTATGAGAATTTTGTTCAGTCTTTTATTGACGGTAAAGATACAGTGACTTTAGAAGAAGTAAGATCAGCACTGCATAGTAGAGAGTTGCGCCATAAGGCGGCTGGTAATGTTACAGATAATCAGGCTGCTGGATTAGTTGTCAGTAGTGGTAAAGGAAAATTGGAAAAAAAGAAGTCCGGAAATAAGAAGCAGTTCTCTAAAGGTCCCAAGCCGGATGATGTCTGTAACTATTGCAAGGAAAAGGGTCATTAGAAATCTGATTGTCCCAAGAAGAAGAAACAGCAGGAAAAACAGCACGCTTCAGTTTCAGTTGCAGAAAAGGAAGCGAAAAATTCAGAAGAAGACCTGGCCCTAATTGCAAACGAACCAACACATCACTCTGATGTGTGGGTTCTTGATTCTGAGGCGTCCTATCACATATGTCCAAATGGGGAATGGTTTACAAATGAGCAGATAGATGGCGGAAATGTCGTGATGGCTAATAGCGCTGTCTGCAAGGCTGTTGGAATCGATTCGATTAAGATCAGGACACATACTGGAAAAATTGCCACACTGAACGAAGTCAGGCACGTCCCTAAAATGACGAAGAATCTGATATCACTTAGTACTCTTGACAGTAAGGGTTTCAGGTTCAGCGGAGGAAGTGGAGAGTTGTGCATCAGTAAAGGTTCATTAGTGGTTCTCAAAGGAGTTAAGCATGGCACCCTGTACATCTTACAAGGTTCTACGCTAACAGGTTCTGCTGCTGCTGCTGTTGCATCTTCTGAAGATCGCAGGTCTGATATGACCAAGCACATCAGGCTTG